AGATATATGGCATTTTTGCCATATGGATTTACAAGCCTTCTTTGCCAAGGACTGTAGACTGACAACAAACTGTCTGGTGTGATTAAATATACTGCCCAAAAGTCAAACAAATTGCCTGGGTTCCTATCTGTAATCAAAGTCTCTAGGTCCAATCAGCAGAAGAATTTCAAAGCATCTCTGCTGCCAAGGAGCAAGGCAATTGTTGACCATGTGTTAAGATTTGTGTTTAAAACACATTAAGACCCCTGTTCTTCAAACCTTCTGCTTCTGTAGAGCTACATGAATTCATCAGGTTTCTGAAAACCCAGGGCAGGGCTATGCCCATATCTGCTTCAGTGACTATTTGGCTTTCAAATCTTCTTTTTCCCTGTCCCCTGAGAGACTCTCTGCTCTCTCACAAAGGCAAGTGGAATGTAGCAGCTCAGTTAATTATTCTCATTCAGGCATTGCATTACCATATATTAGTCAAATTAATCCAAATACTAGTTAACAGTTTTCCTATTAATAATACATTGAAAATGAAAGATTTAAATGTTAAGCACACAAAAGTCTGTTTATTCTAACCCATTTCTGTGCCACTGAGTCAGACCTAAACAAGCAAACATACGTTATTCCCTGGTAGTACCAGTCACATTTTGCCATTGCCCCACTAAATGCTGTAGGACTTAAAAGCTTGACCTATCCACTTTTTTGAATCCCCTTCCCTGGAAGCAACAGCCAGCACTCCTTGCTTGCCTGAAGAAACTGTGCAAAACGAAAGCAGATTCTTGCTCAGTGCAGCCTGCATTTGTGTGTTCTGCACTCCTCAAGCACCAACGGTCAGGTGTCCCCAAGTCATGTAGCAGAAAGAAGAGCTGAACCACACTCACCTTCCAGGACAGTGTATATATTATGGAAGAGGTTGAGCAAATGTATGGAATTCATTGCAGATAACATATGTTACCTGTCTTCCTAACTCAAAGCAAGCCATTCTTCACTCCCACTGTTCTCCTTCCTCACTGATGCTCCTTGAAAGTGAATTTCTGCAAAGAATACAGATATGGCTGAAGGAAATGCTATAATAAATTAATTTAATTCATGCTGGTTTTAGTGGTGGACTTGAACCCAGCTCTGGGATTTGCACTATCTATCTCCCCTCCAAAGACGGTGGGACAATGGTACAAAAGAAAAGGGGTTGATTTCCCACTTTTATTAAAGATAGGTTCAGTCCCCAAATTGGGAAAGGAATCTCACTTCAAATTGTTCATCCCAACAAAGTTCTGGAGAAGAATTAGGAACATGGCTTGGATTCTGGCCCATCACTGAAATGAAGTAGTTCAGCCCTTGGATCTACTTGTTATTAACACAGCATGCAATATAATGCTTTGCTTTGCATGGGGAGGTACAGCTTTCTGGAGTTGCATGCAGCAAACTAGTATTGCATTCAATGAAAGAACAACAGAGAACATGCAGCCTTGCAGTCCAGACACTGCTGTATGACATGCAACATTATTCTAGTTCACTGCAGTGTATAGCCATACTCAGGCATGCAACACATTGGTGAAGACTCATCATGCTATACAGATTCCTCAACAAGCATACAAACATACTAGATAAGCTGCAAGCATTGTATATCTTGAAAAAATATTTTACCTGATATTTTTTTCTTCTGTGAAAAAGTCCGAGGGCCCAAATGGCCCGGCCACACAGCCTTAGGAGTGGCCTCTTTCTGTGACGATAATGGCAGTTTTCAGATGAGCTTATCAATATTTGCTAGCTGCAGTTAGCTCAGGAGCCTGGCCTGCTAGTCTTCCCGCTCCTCCTCTATGTTGAAAACAAAACTCTTCCATACATCTTGCTGCCCAAACAAGTTGTCTTGATCCAAAGATAACAAGATTATACTTGTGATCCAAAAATTTGTCAGTGAATAATTAATGATGCAACATGTGGACTCACCTGGCTTTTATTTATCATTATTCATAACTGCTCACCCTTGGCTTGTACATTTACTTATTTGCTCACAGATTCACATGACATGACATTCATTACAATAAGAATAATATGTACAATACCACTGATAACCACAAACCCAGATCTCCTATTTTTTCTGTAGTTAAATAATCCTATAACTTAAATATACTTTGATAAAGGAAAAATATTCTTGTAAATTAGCCATATCTGTTCATTTTTGATCAAATCACACCCCAAATTAGAGTAACAATACCTTTTCGTTAGGCACCAACAAGGTTGTTGAGTACGACAAGTGAAAGTGCTTGCACATTCCTTTCATCCAAAGATAAATTTCTTGTTAGAAGCTTTAATATTTAAGCTTATAAAAAGTGGAAAGGTAAAAAAAAACAAGTCATATGTGAGGTACAGCAGCATTAAATGGCATAGATTGAGAGTATCTGTGATTTTTAGATGACTGTAACAAGAAAGGAAAGATCCCTGACCAGATTGTTTACACTGAGGCTTCATTCAAGTTCCTGGAGTTGAACTCACAGTTTTCCACTTGTCAGACTGGTAAATGCATACATTTTCCTAACGTATTAATTATAATGTCTGGCACTTTCAAAACCATTCAGGAGTCAGGGCAATTTTTCTCACTAAAGTCTCTACATAAGAATTCAAGTATGTGTCAAGCACTAAGCATGCCTATTAGGAAGAGCTATATCCCAACTTCCATGATGAATCAGATAACTTGGTGTCTCTTTCTTAAGTGGAAAGTTCTTCACGATACTTAGCTAATAGTGCATAATACCAGAATTAATGTTGGCCCAAGATGTATCAGTCTCTTCTTCTGTGCCTGGCTGTGTAAAGGTAGTCCTAGTAAAAATGTCACTGGCCTAAGCAAGAGTGACAGTTATATTCAAATTACAAAGCTATGGGTGGGTCTGCCTAGTTGTCTGCTTCTCCAGTTATTAGAAACAGTACAATCAAATCTAAACAGCTCCAGATACAAACTTTTACTGCAGCTTTTATCCATGGATCCAGATTCTTCAGCGTGGACAGTCACAGCTCAGGTTTCTAGACCTGCAGACTTGACTCTCAGTTGCACTTGATCTTGAGCAGCCAGGTTATAAGGACATATATTTTTCTTACTAGTAGTGGGCTGCAGCAGTGGAAATTCCTTACCCAGCAGGTCTGCTTTTAAAGGACACAGAGACCCAATTTATCTAATCAGAAAAACTGATAAAGAGGGTTTAGCATGGATATAGACAAACAGTGAAACCATTATCACCCTCAAGTAAACGTAACTCTTAAGATACTTTTGCTTTATATATAACCGAAGGGTTGAATGGACTAGCTGGTGCCAGGAGTCTTCTTGTGAGGGAACTGGTGTCGTAATATGAGACCATCAGCTTTATTAATTTTGTACATACCTCACGGCTTATGTTATGCTTCTTAATGCATATGAGCAAACTTCAAACATGCATTTCTAGAGACAGATGAATTAATGAATAATAATTAAGATATCAGCCGCTGATTGAAAATTCACCTCAAACTTCAAAACTGACTAACTTCAGAAGAGTTTTAGATGAACAACCACATGATCAAAATGAGAAGCATTCATAATTATTCATAATTGTTCATAACTATTTTATGATAAACAAAATCATTCATAAACATTTCATGATAAACAGAAAATTGCAAATACAAAGTTATCAGCAAACAGGAAAATATGGCTTCCTCTTTGAAAAAGAAGGAAGCCATATCTTGTGTTCTAGATGCAGTCAAAGGAAGATGAGCCCCAAAAATATCAAGGATGTAGTCAAATATAAATTCAACAGAAAAAAAAATCCAAGTCTATTTCACAGTAAAAGCCAAAAAGTGTCTATGTACTGAAAGAACTTTAAGACACTTTTGTTAGTACAGACCATATTGCTTTAGATCAGCTAATATGGTAAAGTATTAATAGTACAGTTCTGCTTTTAAGCTAATTAAGGAAAAAAAAAAAAAAGCTATCCCAGTGAAGTGAAGGCATACAATGAAAGAGACTGTGAAAAAAAAAAAACAAAGCAAGAATTGGTACAGAATACACAACTAGCAATTACCAAAGTTGTTTTGTAAGCCAGTGTCATTTAACTTCTAAATGCTAAAAACAGATGTGCCACCTGCATTGGAACCACAAGTTTGCCTAGACATGAAATCATTTTTAAAGGTCACTGTTACAAATACCACATACATGCATGCTAAGTTCAAAATAGCACAGTAGGAAAATTTTCAAATATTTTTCCTCCATAGTCTAGACTATCTAAAAGGAAAATCCAAAATCCTATCATTTATCTTTGTACTTTTGTACATCACAGAACCATTCTGACAAAATAATAATTAACGGTTTGTGAGGATTCGTAGGGTCCAATTCAAACCTGATGTGGCAAATATAATTCAAATTCAATGCAAAGGAACACACATGAAACAATTCTGCCCAGAGACCATAAGAATGTTATCTAAATCTAGCAACAATTATTCTCACTTAATACTATAAATAATTAGCTCTATCATTGGTATTGCAATGGTTCACGATAGTCCACAAGCAAATAGAAGAGGTGAAGTTCACTGCCTCTGAAATTCAGAAGGCAAGTATTACATCTATCTTATACTTGTTCCTTCAAAAGGTATTGTTTCAATACTTTGCTGTCAGAATTTGACAATGAAAATTTGAAATTGTCTCCAATTGTTAGAAAATGTCAACACCACAGTCCTCTAAAACCAATGAGTAATGCCTGCAAAACACTATTTGCTGTAATTCTCACAAAGTATCTTTTAGAAATAAAATGATTAATAAATACTTCATAAGAGAACACAGTATTTATGTGCAGCTTTTAGAACAGTACAATGATACGTATCTCTACTAATATCAGGTGAAAGATTTACCTGTAAAGACAAAATGAAAAGTAGACAAGGTATCAGCAAACTATTTACTCTATGTTTTGCCATTTTCCTGGCTTCCCTTTGGAGACCCAGTTCAGAAGTTACTTGAAAGGGTGTTTGTTCAAAAGGTAAGTAACAAACCTTACCTTGTAATCTGTGTTCTAGTATTGAAGTCAAGTGATCTCATTGAGCGTAAGACTTCTATACATCCCAAGTACTGCAGGGAAAAACAAACAGTTATAAACATTACTATAGTTTTTGTGGAGTTCTAGGAGGAAATACAGTAATCATTAAAAGGCATTTCATGGTCTTTGTTTTTACATCTGATTTATCCTAAGTGTGAGCCAAATTTCTATCATTATGTTCTTGTATGTCACAGATTTGCTTCATAAACATTTTACTTCATTAAGTCTCAAGTTTGCTTCAACATATATTTTGATGTCTAATCTAATCACTGCAATACACCTAAAACATAATGATGGGTAGATATGCTTGTTAGTTTTAACCTATCTCAATTGATCCATTTTAGACATAAAGTTACTCAAAATAAAACTAAAATCAATGTAAAATGAAGTGTGGTAAAGCAAATCCATCTAGCACGGATTAATTAAAAATGTTATATAAGAGGGTTTAGTGCAGGAAAGGTAAATCATGGCAGGGAAAGCTGAACAGAATAGCAGCAATCCAAAAATTTGGTTCTCCTTAAAGATACTGAGAGATACTTAGGGACTGATGTAATATCTTCATTAATGACACTAGTATATAGATACAGAAAGATATTAATCAAATATGTCAACAACACAGGCTGGGAGATGGCTTCGACAGAGTCATTCAAGACAGGAATGACATAACAGGTTGATCAATGTTAGGAAAAGTCTCAGAAAGTCGTTTCTGATCTACATTCCAGTGAGAATGAGAGAAAATATGTTAAGATATATATAAATCCATCATCGGATTACGAAAAACTCAGGTGCATTTTATGCATCTAGCCTCCAAAAGCAGGCATGGTTCACATGTGAGAAAGTCTACACACTGCAACTGATCTCATTTTGGATAGTGGCTAGTACCATAATTTATCCTTTGTATAAACCAACTCATGGTTGGCCTATCCCATGACGGAAGCTTTCTACACATATTAAGTATTCAATTTCTCACTTGATTTTTGGAAGTTAGGTGGAATAGATGTTAGTCTGATAATGGGCCTAATGCTGTACCAGCAATGTATCTGTACACTACCAGTGTAGTATTTATTTGTAGCATAGTTTAATCTATACTGTAAAACTGTAAAAGTTTGAGTGAGGCCATTTTTTGTTTCTTTTTGTTTTTTTTAACAGTGTTTTGATTAGGGAATTATTGCACTGCCAGCTATCCTAGCTAAATTTCAACAATGTTTTTTATAAAGAAACTTATCTATCGCAGGCTGTTCACAAGTTGAGGGAGTTTCTTGTTTGTTTTCATGTGTATATTATTATTTGATTTATTCCTATCAAATACCATCAAGTCTTTAGAACATTGAATAAAATAAACCGAAGACTGAGTGACTCATATTAGTTAAATCCCTCAGATTTGGATTATAGTTCTGGGAGTTCTGGGAAGGATTTTAGATTCATTTCTTTTATTTTTAGAACTCCTTGCATCTTCATTTTTTTTTCAAAGTTCCCAAAATTAACATGGAACATTCTGTATGTAGAGATCTTGGCTCAAGAAACTCTCAAGCTAAGGGTCATAACCTCAACCTCTTTAGATAAACATCTCTCTCCTACTGGTGCAAACTATGTACTTAGAAACCCTTGTATCTTGGTAAAAATAGATTCCTTTCTTACACATACTTATTCTCACTGAGTACTTAAAGCATTATCTCAGTTTTTAAGAGTCTGAAGAGGTGATTTGATTTTCTTGAAGTTCATTAAACATCAGTTGAAGCAATGAGCTGAACTCAGTGAAGCTTTGCCAATATACAGCAATGGAAAATATTTTATTATACCATTTGCATCACTTTGTTTTAGTTCTATGATCTTTTAATTAATAAATTTTCTCAAATATGTATTTCCTTTCAGATGTTTTCATAATTACTTCTGCTCTAAATTGATATAATTATTCAAATGTTGATTCTTACGGAAATATTTGGTTTGGATATGTTTACTTCTTCAACCTGTTCACTTAGACCACTTAAAAATTCTTGGATTATACTTGTTCCCTCCCTTATCTATATTTGCCACAAGTCTTTTAAAGCTATATAATCAAACAATTTTTAAAAGCTGGTCCAACATTTTAGAAACAAACTCTGAAAGGTAATCTGACAAGTACATGCAGGCGTGCAAATAAATACACAAACACATGTGCACACAAAGCATTTTTGAAATAAACACACAAATAATCAGACAAATACCATAAACATACTCATAAGGCGTGCATTTAGTCTCCTTTGAGTCAGACTTCCTGATCTGCATTAACAAAAGTTGAGACAAAACCAGACTGAAGAAAGGTCAGATGGAAAAATTATCCTGTACTTGTTTTATGTATAGCATGGAGACAGCTGAACATGACATAGTAAGGCTGCAGTATTCCTGATTGCTCAAGGCAAAGACGGCAACTTTTATTGGGATAAAAGATGTGAACACTTAACCACCACGGCATGTTTTCAAATAACAAAATTACTATAAATACTGACATTCAAAAGGTCCAAAGGCCAACTACAGGGACATATAACTCACCTACTGCTATGCTTCAATTATTCCCCAAGACCAACATTGATCTCTAAAAATATCCATTTGAAGTACATCCTGACAAGGATCCACAGAAAGAAGACATACAACCAAAATAGCAAGTAAATAAATTATTCATTTATTTCAACAAATAAATATACTGATTTAAAAAAAAAAAAAAACTTTTGCTTTAGGCATTCCATGAAACTTTTAAAATATAGTTATAAAACAGACTTCTAAAACAACTCCTCTTTCCCCATTACTTAATGCATTTGCTAAATAATCAGCTAAAGTACACTGTGGTATTTTTGAGCTCCCACTAGCAATTCCCTTCTCTTTGCTCAAGAAGCAAATAGGCCAAGATGCATCCACTCGGAAGCAAGACAATATGGGACTGTTGGTTCCAAAATCTCCTAGATAACGTTCTGTCTTCTACTTTCTTATGTTTGATTCCAGCTTGTGTTAATTTCACTGCACGGTATTATGTCATGAGGAACAGCTCTCCAGATAAATGAATCTGTTCCTATTCAGAGATTTCAGATTTGTAGCTAATACTTTTCATTCCAGGGAGTTGATGCAAATTTAGAAGTACAATGTCCTATAGTGCTGGAATCAAACATTTTTTACTGCATGAACTTCCAGTATCTTTACTAGTATAATTTCTTTAGGTACATTTAAGAGAAGGCCTAGAACTTTAGTTTCTAGAGTTTTTCCCAGAAGTGAAGACTTCTTCCATATTCCCTAAGGTATCTCTGTCTTCTCTGAGATTTAGCTGGAAAATTCTCGTTCAACAACCAAATATTTTAGTACAATCCATGTAACAAAGGGTATTGAGCTTTAACAGTGTTTATTCAAAGCAGGCGGCTGAACAAATTAGTGTTGAGCATGTTCTTGTGTTTGTAGGGATGGGAAAAGGCAAATGAGAGTAGGCACTGTGAGCGTTGCCTTTTGATCCACAAACACGAACAGCCTTGTTCTGTGTTTCGTAACAAGCTCATTGAGAACACCAAGTTCCTGGAAGAAATCTTCCACAATTTGAGTCAGAAGCTGGCAGAACAGCAAAAGTTTTTATAAAAATGTAGCAAAATGTAGTCACATACAGCACTGCAATAGACCAACCTGGAGCATGTAATATCTATTACTATATGTAAGAGCAGATGAGTGTACACCCTTAATATGGATAGTGCTAACAACTACCCATCACTTGCTCTCGGATTAAGTAAAGACTTCTAATTTATGAATCTGAGATACTAGAATTCATTAGATCACCAAACAATATGTTTATTCCTAGTGAATTAAGATAGACCATTTTTAATACATGCAAATCAGTGACTGTCATCAAAGCTAGGTGGCTGAAAATATGGTTAATTTTGCTTAAATGTGCAGATCCTTCTGCAAATTAAGTAAGAGAGGGCATGGTTGTATCAGCAAACAGACATGCACCTGGGACAGCTTTGCCATAAATTAGCCATGCCTACAAATACTGATGTATCTGAACTCTTCTCTGGCACTGCACAATGGCTGGTAATAGCTTGGGGGCTCAAAAATAGCTTCAGCATCCTGGGATTCTGGGTGGGATATATATAGATCTAATTTTTGAAAACAGAAAGCTGTGAAGTGTACTGTAAAGCCGCTCGATCTATGCAATAAGTCAGTCAATGCAATGCAAGTTCTTAACCCTCAGGCTTAAACTCTGTTTCTATTTGCAAAGTATGCATTGCAAAAAGTGAGCATCATCTGCCACACCTGTTCCTTGTGTTTTTAGAGTCATATTTCTACATTTTCATGATTCATTTTTTCTGCATTTTGCTCTTGGTGGCAGAAAAGTTCATCCAAAAATCAAAGTATATCATGAAAGTTAAATTGGCAGGTAGTATGAACTGCTATTGCTAATAACTGTATGAAGAATTATTTCAAAATGTGAGCTTTTATTTAATATTCTGATTAACCTGCTTCTATCGCAACATGCATTTATATATGCATTAAAATGGTAGTTCATTCCATTCTCAGGTGTCACCATTAACAGTCTAAGGGAAGGGATTTGTGAAAACAGCACTAAAACAGCACAAGGAACTGCAATCAGAATTTTGACCCTTAGAATAAATATACAATATTTAAATTAAATAACAAAAGGCTACAATTCTTGGTAATTTATTTAATCTTGCTTTAACTGAACATTTATTACCTTGCATATGTAATTCAACTGAGACATGCACTACACATTACTTAGGTAATCAGCAGGAAAAGATCACAAAAGGAGAAGCTAGCTTTTCACAATATACATTTCCCTTATTCACTTCATAAGCAGATCATAGCTTAGCTATGCATATTTAATAGACTACATAGTACCCTTTAGCAATAGATCTAATAATTCTGTGAAGACACTGGAACCTTAGCAGTATTATAATTCATTAAAGCAATAAAGTTTTATTAGAAGACAAAAAGTGAGGAACCTAAAATGCAGTACTTGCTAAATTATATCATAACTCTCCAACCAGCTGCTGACAATCAC